ACAGGGAGAGGTAGTGGAAAACCTGGGAAGAGGCAGCACAAGCTGAAGGTAGGAAGCGGGAAACCCCCCTGTGTGCACATGAGCAGGGCAGGATGGAAAACCTCCGCTGCTCGAGGGCACGTCTGGTTGGGCTCTACAGGGAGAAGGGCTGGGGACTTTTCTTCTGCTCTAAAGGATAGAGTATGTGGCAGCCTGTGGTGCTGGGGAACTGGTCCAGGAGCTGTGAAGAGGAGCAGGAGGAGGGTGGTGGGAGTGATCCGGCTCTGCTGCAGCCCAAGGAAACCTGAAGCTGCTGCAGGGACTGGCGTGAGATGAGCCAGGTCAGCCCCACACACCCCTGTGAGCCCCTCCTTTGTGTGCTGGGACCATCAGGTTAGCAGGGCTGGAGCTCCAGGTCCTGCCTTGCCCAGCCAGCCTATCCAGGGGAGGCTCTGAGCCACCAAAGGGAGGGAAATCACTGTTCATGGTGACATTTCCCCACACTTTACCTTTGGGGTTATGTTATATTTGTCCGGATGGATGATTTTCAAGTCCATGAGCAATTCCCCAAGAACCAACAAGGCATCCAGGATCACCAGCCAGACAACCCCAATCTGTCAGAGGAGAAGAACCAACATGAATCCCCTCCCAGCACAGACCACAAGAGGAGCCATTGTGGCCCTTACAGCTGAACACACCCCAACACCCACAGCCCTGATTCAGCTGGTTGTGTTTCATGGAGCTTTCCATTGCTCCCACTCCCCCTGGATGGTGGGTTATTCCTGCAAAGTCCCACCCCCATGAAACCACTTGGCTCCCCATAAACCCAACCACCTCCCAGCCCTTGATCTGGGGAGCTCGAGACAGGGGGAGCACGTGCTGGTGCCGCAGCGACCCAGAGGCACCGAGGCCTGTCCCCGCTCAGGAAACACCTGCACCCACGGAGCAGCTCAGCTCAGCTCCCACAGCACAGCTCAGCCGGGGGCTCATGAGCTCAGCCCTGTTTCCTGAGCTCCATCCCACACCCGCCCTTGGCCTGGGCTTGTTCTGCCTCACCTGAAACCTGTGGGAGCTGAAGAGCTTTTTCATCATGTCCTGGAAGGAGATCTGTCTCCTGGCAGGCTCCACCTTGATCTCCGAGTCCTGCTGCTTGTCCCCATTGTCCTCCTCCTCCTCCCATTTCTGGTAGTCATTGCTCCACTGCACGGGGTCATCGCCCACCACCGTGAAGTGCTTCAGGTACCTGGACATGGCTCTGGGTCAAGCTGGCATCACCCTGCCAACTGAGGGACAAGAGCAGAGCGTCACCTCCCCGCTCAGGGCGGACCAAAGATGCCAAATCTCCCGGTTTCACCCCAGGGAGGGGACAGGACCGTGACCGGCTGACGGGAAGTTGCTAAACGCTGGGACCGCAGGTTTTGCATCACCTCCCCTTCCCCCGGCACCACGAGGAGCCCCCGCTGCCCTCCCCAGCCTTGTTTGTGCCCCATCTGCTGCTCCACAACGAGGAACTTCCTCACGAGTTTTTTCCAAACTTCTCCAAGCAAAGCATCGATTACAGGAGCAAAAAAGCACCAGCCCTTATCTGGCACCTTGTGATGCAGGTGGAGGCAGCTGCCCTTGTGGTTCTGTTGGACACTGATCCACAGAGGCTGCTGGTCAGAAGCCAAGGGGAAGAACAGCCATGGTTTCCCTTCATTAACATCAGGGACCCCTGTTATTTCAGCCTTTGCAGGTAAATGAAACAGGTGATCCCCACGTTTCAGCCTGGCCAGTGGGTGACACCGACCTCCCCATCTCCTCTCCCTGCATCCTCCAGAGCCGACCTCACCCTTGGGCATCCCAGTTTCAGCCCATTCCTGTGGACACTCTGTGAGGGGCAAGACCACCAAACCCAACTCCTAATCATTCAGGCCACACTCCAGCAATGAAAACCACACGGATGAAACACCGAGTTCGCTGGGAGTGCAAGACCCGGGGGTCTCACAGATGGGCTGAAGGGCTGCAGGAGAGGCTCCTGTGTTCCCATCGCAGCCCCCCCAGTTCTTCTTCCTCTTTGGGCAGCCCGGCGAGACTGTGTGGCCCACAAACCCTCCGAGATGCGCTCCCGCCGCCAGCACAACCCCCATCCCCACCCCGCTCCCGTCCTTTCCCGGAGCCGCCCGGGGGGCTCAGCACAACCTCCCCCGGCCCAGCCCGTGCTCCGGGGCTGCTCGCCCTGCCCTCGGCTCTCGCTGGGCTCCGCTCCCAGCGGCGGTGGTGCCGGAGGGCGGGTGGGCTGCGGCCACCCCGTCACCTGCCGTGAGGACGGAGATGGTTCCCTCGGTGCCGCCACAGGGGCAGCACCTTCGTTCTCCGTCGCGGGCACCGAGCGGAGTCCCGCGGGGAGCGGCCCTGGGCATCGCCCCCCGGCCCCGGCATCTCCCCCCGGCCCCGTGCGGGGCGGCCGCGGGGCCTGGAGCCGCGGCCGGCGGGTGGAGCGTCCCGGACCCCGGGGCTCCCGGACCTCCCCCATCCCCAGCCTGGCGGAGCGGGACTGAGCCCTGGGCGGGGCGGGACCCCGGGGGAAGGACGTGGCGGCCCCCGCTGCAACCCCCCACCCCCGGCCAGCACCCACCGGGCCGAGCCCCAGGGACGCCCCGGCCGCCCCCGCTACCCCCGGCCCCGCTCCCCTCTGTCCCCGGTACCGTCAGTGCTCGTCCCGGCTGTGCCTGAGCCGCCGCCGCCGCGGGGCCTCCGCGGACCGGCCCCGCCTCCCCCGGACAGGGGCGGCCCCGGCCCGGCCCCGCCGCCTCCTCCCACCGCGCCCGGAGGGGCTCCAGCGGGTCCCCCCATCCATCCTCGGGTCCGCCGTCCATCCTCAGAGTCCCCTCATCCATCCACAGCGTCCCCCCCATCCGTCCCCGGCGGTCCCGTCCGACATTTCCCCTTTCCGCAGCTTTTCTTTTTTCCCCGCTCGGGAGCTGCCGGAACAGGAGACGCCGCCGGATGGAGTTTAAACTTTTTTTTTTCTCCACTGTTTTTAAACTTTTTTTTTTTTCCCTGCCCGACACAGCGAGCAAAGATCCAGGACGGTGGGAAGTTAAATCCTGAGTCTCTGCCGAGCT